ATATGACCTTTCAAAAATGTTAATTTTGTTACCTTTTTTGTTCATATTTTTTTTTTCTTCACGTGTGCAAATTTGCACACATGGAAAAGTGATGCTTACTGTTTTGCTCTACATGTTTGAGGGGACCCCAAATGGTTGTCCCATTTGTGGAGTGAACGTACCATTGTGATGTTACTCCATTGGGGGAATCACGAGGGGGGAGAGGTGGCACTAATCGATGTTTCTCACATGTGATTAACCAAAAGAGAAACGAACAGTTTGGGAGACCTCTTCTTATCTGCGAAGGAAGAACTTTTGGGAAGATTCCATCCCGTATGGGTGCACCGTGTTGTGTACGTACAATCCTCTGGAGAGGCACTCACGTGTGCATGTGTTTGTGGGGAAAGGAATAACTAGTGATTTTTCACACAATTTTTCTTTAGACAGTTTTTCCTCCATTCCGTGTTCTGATTTATTCAAGGGAGTCCTTCCACCGCGTTAAGTCTTTTCCTCCACTTTGCAGTCACACACATCTGTAGTGTTTGCGGCAGTTTGGACGAGTCACACTCCATGCATGTGATTGCTCCCGTTTGGTTGCTTCCTCCCTGGCCCATTATATTAGGAACTCCCCCCCTCCGTGCTCCTCTCCCTCACTTGTGTTCGTTTCTCCTCCAACCCCGTGATCACTATGCTGCGTAGGCTCCTCCGCATTGCAGTACTGCTCCCCCTGCTGCTCGCGCGAGTGCGCAGCGAAAACGACATCTCCGTGAATGGCAGCCTAACCGTGGCGAACCTCAAGATTTCGGCCAAAGATAACAAAGAAAATGGAATCCTCTTCCAGAGTAAAGAAGTAGAATACAAGATGGGGATGAACCCCGAAGGGCAATTCATAATAAGTAGGAAAAACAAGCCAATCATAAGTATCGATGAACACGACAATATGAACCTCTTGAATCAGGACCTAGTCGTCAAGGCATTAACCATCGATGGAATATTTAAGGTGCGCCATGTAAATCAATTTCAAATGATTCTTCATGAGACGTTCAGTAGCAGTGAAAGTACGAAGGGATGGTCAGGTGACAACTTCGATAACGCCACGTCTGTATGTGGTGGAGTCAATTTGTTAGGTGGCTATGGAAAGCTCTCCAAGGGTAGGATCCACAAAACGTTTGAGAATATCCCAAGCCACACGCAGATTCGAATTAAAGCAAACTTCCATTTCATTGATGAGTGGAATTCCCATACGGCTTATTTAAAAGTTGGAAGGGATGATCAGGAGGATCTTTTTTATGTATGGACAGATAGCCACTCCCAGGTGGGCCTCTCAAACGCAGTGAACATTTGTGGCAATACCACTGGTGAGTCGAAGTTCAGCTCCGTCATCGACGTGGTCATACCGCACAACTCGAGCAGACTCATCGTGGAGTTCGGCACCACCATCCAGGTGGATGACCCGAAGAGCATTTCCTGGGGCGTCTCAAACTTTCAGCTGTTCATCGTGTGAGGGGTGGATGTGTCTGTGTGTGTTTGTTTCTGTCTGTGCGTGTTTGTGTGTGTCGCCCCTCAAACATGATGTGTACATATGTCTGATGGTGGTATCAGCTGAGGAGTCCGCCCCCTCGCGCCATCAAGCAAGCGGTTTGGGCTGTCCTCCCCACATATACAAATGCATCCATTTCCGTTTTGCACATCTCCCTGTGTAGTTTGAACTTAAAGCGGCCTAATGGCCCACATGTTTGTAAAAAACGACTTACGAAAAAAAAGGGAAGTTCCGTGGAGGAGACGAAATTGGGGGCAAACGAGGAGAGGAGATTGGAACGAATGGGGGTGGTTTAGGGTGGAAACTGCGAGTGGCAACCAACTCAAAGGGGCACCTCAAAGGGGCACCTCAAAGGGGCACCTCAAAGGGGCACCTCAAAGTGATACTTCTCCCCCGCCCCCACAGGGTCACAAAAAAAGGAACAAATCGCACACTTCTATTCGTCATTAGGAAAGAGAGAAGGCACAAACACAGATGGGGAGTGTCTGTGGGGAAGGTAATATAACCTTAACGGGGTGACGGTACTAATTCAGGGGCTCTATTTTGAGTTTCTTGTTTCCAGCTCGTAGTCTCGATCCGACATCTTCTCCTGCGAAGAGGTGTAGAGGACAAATGGGGAATGTAGAAACCGAAATGATGGAAAGAGCACACCCATTCCGCGTTAGCCTTCTTGTTCCCTCCGCGTCCTTCCAAAAGATAGCCTCACCGTCCAGCACGAGGACCACCCGGCCAAGGGACACCGGGTCGGTGAGCTCAATCCTTTTCCAAGCCTCATAAATGGCGGATGCCAAAATAGCGACCAACGTCATCGTAGCCGTGTTATAAATGGCCTGAGATTTCCCAGGAACATTTCTTAAAACGACTAACACCTCATTGGTGCAGAGAGTTAAAAGACATTTCCTCGTTGCCTTCCTTAAGTCCATTAGGGTTAGTGACTGAGGAAGATAATTCTTATCGTTTGAGGAAATAAGCTGCAAAAAGTTTATCCACATATCTTCTTCTCTCTTCCATAACCTCACATTTAACTCGATTGTATTTTTGTTGCTAAATTCGAGGAGCACTTGTAGGGAGGAGAGTGGGGTCCCCATCTGGCAGGAGAATAACCATGGGGTTAGCAGATTTTCTTCGTTTTCAATTTTCTGGTTTACTTTTTTTTCGATTTTGTTTTCTCTTCCTTCCCGGTCGATGATTATGTCCGTTACTTCCAGCTTGTCCAGCAGGACCACCACTTGTCTCTCCAGTTTCATCAGCCTCTTCTCCAGCCGGTACTTATCTGCGGTGGTTTAAGCGGCGGTTAGGCGGTGATTAAGCGGTGGTTACGCGGTGGTTAAGCGGTGGTTACGCGGTGGTTACGCTACTGTGTCCCCTCCACGGGGGCCTCCTCTCTCTAAGAGCACCTTTCTCCGAGTTCTGCAATTTATCATTTAGTTCCTTCACGATGGTGAGCAGCGGGTCGTACTTGGTGACGATAAAGGTCTGCAGGTCGCTACTGAAGATAGCGGCATTCTGGTTCGTCGTCATTTTGGGCAGGTTGCATTGAAGCGGTGAGGGGGTGAGGCAGTATTGCGGTGATGCGGTATTGTGGTGAGGAAAAGGGGAAGCCCAATACCGCTGCACACACGTTAACTGCCGTGGTGAAAAAACGAATTGGGCGCAACTGACAGCCGATGGGAAGCCTTTGATCTTCAATCTGTGCGTGCGTCTGTCCCTTTTACCATTGGTGAATGCTCGGCTCCCCGGGTTGTCTGCTCTCAGTGCGTGTAGCTTTCTATGCCTTCCCTCTCTATGGCTTCCCCCCTCTCTTGTTTAACCGCTCTGCAAGGGGCGCTGGAGGAGGGAAGTGCCTTCACCCCGTGTGTATATCGCGGTGAGCGCTTGACCTGTCCGTCCAGCGGTCTCTCCGTCCAGCGATCTGTCCACCCAGTGAGACAGCCCAACGGCACACCGTCACGATACAACTCCTCCGCTATCGCGATCGCAAACAAATTCGGGTAGGAAAAATGCTGCGCGTCCGAATTTTACACTGCGTTGCGGAGGAGCGGCAAGTTTGCAAAAAGGAGAACCAAAAAATAACACAAAAAAAAATAACAAAAAAAAAAATAAAAAAAAAAAAAAAAAAATACTAACCTGTATGCTCGTTTACTCACCCGTCTGTTCATTTTTATTTGTTTTTTTTCCCGATGGAGAAAATTCCACCCCGTTCACATATTCTGAAGCGTGGAGCAAAAAGCATGCCCAGACGCGGGAAATGCCTTTTTGCAACGCGGCACATGGGGGTGGGCCCCTAACCGGCAGGTCAAAATGCACTGCCGTGGGTGCGCTGAGGTAACATCGCGGTGACTCCCTGCACGGGGGGGGAAAATCAAATTAGCTTGTTTCCCCCGTTTAGGGGAATCACCAACGGAGGCTAATTCCTACCCATGTAGTGTTCGCTTCAGGAAGTGTATAATACACTGTTCACTTTGCGTGATAAAATGAAATAAAAAAAAATAACTTGTATACAGCGGGTGACGTCCCGTTCGCTCGTTCTTGTAGGTCAACGTTTTTCTCGCCTTTTCCTTTGCCCCTCATTTTGCTCTTATAAATTGAGGAAAAAGCATAGGCTTAGCTTTTTTTTTTTTTTTTTTCCTTTCTCCCCTCCCGCAATGGTAATTACTCCTATGCGGTAGTTTCGTAGATACTTCCTTGACTGTTCAGGGGAGTTTCCCACCTGGGGAGCCTGTCAGTCGGACGGGGGATATCTCCACTCGGTGGGCTGACAGGGCGTGAATGAGCCACTCGGCGGGGGGGAGGAGCCACCAAACGGAAAAGAAGAAAGAAGCAATAAATGAGACGCAGCAAAATGAAATGCAGCAAAAATAGAGCGCAGCGAAATACAGCGCTATATCATATAGCAAAGTAAATAACCCCAGCTGGACTTGAGGGGAAGTCTCCTCCACAGAAGGGGCGCGCGACGAATGTATTGTCTCCGCCAGGGCGGCTCCCCGTTTATCTCCCCCTCGACGCAGAATAAGGGCCACAGGGGTTAGAAGTTGGCAGGCTGTCCACCTCTACCCACCAAGGATAGGGAGAAGCGTCCTCAGCCCAACGCAGCTTAGCATACCTCAGCTTAGCCCTGCACACTGCATCTAACCGAACCGCATCGGACTGGCCCGCATCTAACCGAACCGCATCGGACCGCCCCGCATCTAACCGCACCATGATAAACCTGCAAGTGCACCAGCTGCGGAGCCCCAGCGAAACGGACCACTGCGAGTGCGGCAACCTGCTGCGCGAAAAGAGCCTCGAATTTGTCCTAATCAAAAATAAAAACCTGAGCATATACACATACCAAAGGAGAAGGAAAAGAAACTATCTCATATACGAGACGAAGCTGAACGCACCAGTAGTGAAGCTCGTCATCTTGAAGGGTGTCTTTCTCCGCAAAAATAAGCAGCGAATTAGTGGTGTTCTTCTCGTCTATAAGGGTCTTCATTTCGTCCTCTACAGATTTAATCGTCACTTAAATACCCTCCTTGTTGTCTTAAAACACAGCTTTGTGAAGAAGGCGAAATTTCAGCCTCTCTTTTATTCCCTACCCATTGCCGTTAACTACGTGCACAGGTATGACAAGGGGGGAGGAAGCGCCGCGGGGAGGACAATCCGCATCGGCGGAAGGAAACCCGTTACGGGCATCACCAGGAGAAGGAGAATCAGACTGGCCTCCAAACGGTTAAAAGGGTGTATCCGGGGATTGCACCCAGGACTACGCCAAGGAGGGGGACGCCCCGAGGAAGAAGTAACCTCGAAAAAGTGGAACGAAAAAGGACGAAGGGGGAAAGCGACACCCGTTGGACACCCCAGTGAGGCCACAAAATGGGGAGCAAACTCACAAAACGGTGTTGACGATGAATTTTATGCAAACCTCTCCGGTGAGAGGGGGAGAGGTGCCAACTTGGAAGAGCATTTTTGGCTAGATCGATTCGTTCCAGAGGACATAGACATTTGGAGTGAGAAGCAGCAGGACTCCCTTCAGCAGCTCTCCCATCGGAACCCCCTCCGAATTATCCCAAACGGACAGACCAGAACGAATAAGCGAAATTTGAACTTCTGCGAATTTGCTGTTTCCTTCTCGAATGACTTCAAAACGATTTATATCTTTTTTTATTCCTCGAGGAGAAGAGGAAAAAATGGTCTTGACCCGACTTGTGCTGGAGAAATCAGGACCACCTACTTTCGGAAGGACCTCTATTTGTTTAACATCGTGAAAGTTAGCCTGCAGGACGTCTATCGACACTTCATTTTTATTAAAAATATTTTTTTCCATGGCGGGAACATGCACGTGTTGCTTCAGAACGAGCCGGTAAGGCTTCGGCGGCCCGTCCGCAGCGGGGCGATTCATCAATGCCACTAATCACGACACGCCATAACTGCTTCTGATCACTACACCGCATAACTTCTTCTCATCACTGCAGATCAACGTGGGGCATGCCACCGTGGAGGAACTCAGTCTGAAGCTGCTAATCCTACGGCAGGAGGAGCACAAGTTTGACGCGAACAAGCTTACGAAGGGATTCCCAAACGGTACGATAGACCTCCTGCGGGTGAAGGAGCTGCTAATATGCCTCTGTCAGGACTATGTGTGCATACTGAATATGAGGAGAAATCAGAAGGTGATTTATATGTTTAAAAAAAGTTGCTATACCAACGGGGTTTTTCATCTGCAAAAGGGAGAAACGCTTTTTTATGATTGCACACATTTTAATGTCCACTTCAAAGAGAGTAGCAGTAACATGTGCCACAGGAAGGGGAAGATTTTTATACTTACCCGGAAGTGCATCCTGGAAGGAACCCTCTCCAGGGATCACAACGACATGGTGAAACTCCTCAAATGGAGGAAGGTCCACACGTTTAAGTATGACTTAGCCAAATCTTCCGTTTGGTTTTTTCAAGGGAGGGTCCACTTCGTGTGCTGCTACAATGGGATATGCGGCCGAGCCGACGTGGATTTGCTCGTGAGGAGAGGCGGGGGAGGAAAAGAAGGCAGCCCCATCAAAGGTGGGTTCGAAGGAGGATCCTCGCGCAAGAGGAAGGCAGAGCTAGAAGCGAACCCAGGGAAACCAGCGAAGAGGGAGAAGTTGCAAAAAGGGGAGAAAGAGCAGAAAGAGGACAAATGGGAGAACCATGATGGGGTACCTCCCAGCGGGGACGTGTCACTCGATATAGACGTCTTGGCTCCAAATGGGGATCCCGTAACTGCGCCTCTCCCTGTTGTAACGACACGTGGAGACCCGCCCCTAACCACCAGGAGGGTGCAACCGAACGATAATTTCCTAATGGACCTCCTGATCTATCTAAACAGAAACCCAACGATCAACGAAGACACCAAAGGACTCAACCACAGCAAATACGATTTCCTATTTCAAAAATATAGAAAAAAGATTAAAATTCTGGAAGGCAATTTTTCTTTGTTAAATGCCCAAGGGGGAGTCGAGTATTTCCCTTCCCTTTTCCTCCTCAGGGGAAGGAAAAAAAAGGGGAGAGAAAAAATAGGAACATCAATCCCGCTAGGAGGTATGACTAACAAGGAAGCAATTACCCTAGTGGACAAAATACCATCCAAGGGAATGCTAACCGATCTGATAAAATCTAATGAGGAACCCAGCTTAGTGAACAAAAGCAGCTACTTCGCCCTTATAGGGAATAAAAAACATAGCCGTGTCGAGAAGATCTTGTTCAGGGTTCCTTTTAGCACTCTGTTAAGTGTGTCCATTGCGGGAGGGTCTGCAAGGGGTGTATGTGCCACTGAGGGAGGAAGAGGGAAGCGAAGCTGTCACTATATTATGATTAACTTCGAGGGAGAGAAACCCGAGCGGGGTGATGAAGGGGCAACTCAGAATAAACGGAAAGATCGGAGAAGCTACGATAAGGAGAAGACTACCAGTCAGGGTGGAGGCAATGCACTCATAGGCAGAAGGAGCCTCCTCCTATGCGTGGACAGCCTTAATACATGGAGAGAGAAAAAAGGGACCATTACAAAGGGGACCAGCAAAAAGGGGACTCTTTCGAATGAGAAGAAGGAACGACTAGTGGATGAAGCAACAACTAGTGGGTTACACTCTTCCGACGGGGGGGAGAACCCAAGGGGAGCTCTACTAAGCGACCATCGCGCCAGAGTTATTTACACGCTAAGGGGAGACACACAGCAAGGGGAACCATCTCACGAGGTGGAGTTCCCTCCAACGGGCACCGCCAAGGTGGATACCTTCCGTGCCTTCTTCAGATTCTACCCTTTTGTTCATTACAGAAATAGGGATGTAAGGAGATACCTCGAAGGGTTTTCCAATGGTGGAACGGACCATTTTCTTCACGGAGGAAACGAATCGGAGGAGCTATCTAGGGGGACGAGCATCAAACGGGACAGAAAATCCCAGACCAAATCGAAGACCAAATCGAAGACCAAATCTGATGGAAGGCGTACCTCTTCCCAGAGAAGTCACTTCCAAATTCAATTAAAACAAAAATATGTGCAGTTTTTCCTAACTGAGAGAAGAAAAAATACACACTTAAGTATGGAAGGGAAGTGCATAGCTCTCTTAAGATTTAAGTCTTTACTAGTGCAGGTCTGCCGCAAAGAGATCAACGTGTCGCTTTATGCCAACACATGCATGGTGCTTCGAAACGTACCTCTCAAAGAAGCAGTGGTGGAGTGTAAGATGGTGAGGAAGTTTCTAATTCTTCGGCACGAAAGCGGCAGCTGCTCTGTGTACGCTTTCCACGTGGACCAAGTGACAGACCTGTTGCTTCGGATAGACCAAGTGACGTCGTTACTTAACATGTGCCTTTTACGCTGTCTAGATATGGACACTGGGGAGGAGGAAATTAACCTCCTCCGGTTTGCCACCTCCGTGAGGGAGCAGCAGCAGCAGGAAAGGAAGGAGGAGGACCACGAGGATGACGCCGACCTGCTCTCCCTCTTTCGAACCAAAACGCCGCACACTTTTTGCAAGGTTGTAAACAGAATGGGCGGCTCAGACGTAGGGGAAATTCTCTCCCTGTATACCCAGTTAGACAACGTCCGCTGTATATCCACGGTTAAGAAGAGATCCCAGAGCTTCCTCTCCTTCCTGGATGATGCGAACTGCACCCTGCGCATTTTCCACCTGGAGAAGAGGCGCACCCTCTTTGTCAGTAACCCTCTGTTAGCGGTACCCAAGTATCTCTACAACGCGGAACGGAAAAAAGACGCAGAACAGGCAGGTCGGGAAAAACTCGCTCAAATCACTCCAGAGGAGGGAGAGCTTCCCCCCGCGGAACCCCTCCTCGACACATACAAACTGGAGGAGGTAATAAATGTTCTCCTCTTCCCACTGGGCCCCAATTACGTCTTAATCGTCTTCCTAACGGGGAGACCCATAATGATATACAAAAACGTTGGCCAAGTCAGAAGCATAAAGAGGCTGAAATTCCAGGTGGTAGCACACAGGTACACACAGCCTCTGCTCAGTAACGTTCATTTTGTAAAAGACCCCAGGGGTGAAAAGATAGAAGTTGTCACCGTTTCGCGCGACAAGGCAGAGGTAAATAACGGTTTCGTCGTCTATATCGATGGAAGGAGCAGAAGGAGGAAAGAATCGGACAATCTGACACTCCAAATGAGGGAGAAAAAGAAGAAAAAAAAATCATCAAAATGTATAGTAGGTTATCCCTATGTGGATATCTCGAAGGTAGACCTAAGCCATCTGAGTGGTACTCAGAAGGAGCAGCTGTACCAGAAGGTCCGGGCCTACAACGCTGTTTTTCCCCCCCTACTGTTGTCCAATTGTAGGGGCAAGCTATTTGTTCATCGCTGCGGTGGGGAGGGCGAAGCGGCAAAGGAGAGCCGGGGCGCAGCAAAGGAGGCACAACCCAGGAGCATCGTAAAAATTGACCGGAATGCCTTCCTCAGGGTTGACGCAACGAGCCTTCGCATCGTTACCATTGGGGAGGAAGAAAAAGTGTGTCCAACGGGTCCAGACCGAGATGGCAGTAGAGATCGAGATGACAGCAGAGACCGATCTAGCAGCAGAGACCGATCTGGTCGCAGTGACCGATCTGGCAGCAGAGAGCGGGCTGGCAGCAGAGACCGATCTGGTCGCAGTGACCGCTCTGATCGCCGTGACCCAACTCACAGGGAATCCCAGTTAAAGCGTGACGTTGGGCGAACGCTAAGTGAGGCTTGTCCCCCCCTGAAGGTGACCTGCCACCACAGCAACGTCGACACGGTGCAAGTACACGACGACGTCTTCCTTGTAAGGAGCCCCCCTCCCAACAGACTCTCCTTCAACGATGATTTCATCTCGAAGATGTTTTTGTCCTACCCGTACGTCTGCAAAATTGCCGTTTCGCAGTTTGAGTACGTGCTGAAGAGGGGGAAAGGACGCCAAGAAGGAGACGAAAAAGGGGGGCAAAAGGAGGGAGAACATGAGGGCCAAAAAAAGGGCGAAAAGGAGAGCGAAAAAGAGGGCCAAAAAAAGGGGGCGAACAAACCAACCGCCACCACAGTCGACACGGGGGAGAAGGCGAATCAGGCCGCTGCAGTCAACCAGCAGGGTAACCCACCCGTACGGAGAGGCACCCGCGGAAAGATTATCTGCGCCGTCGTTCGAATCAAGTATGACGAATATCACTGCCTGAAAAAACTACAGAAAAGGAGACTAAACCTGCAAAAGGAGGAACTCCGAAGTAACCTTGCCTATGCAGGGGAGGAACATATGCAATGCGTGCCAAATGTACACCTCCAGGACAGCATTAACAATCAATACACGCACAAGCTGAAGGGGTTCCTCTGCAGAGGCAGCGACGAAAACGGGAATGACAACGAGGAAGAGGCAGCCACAAGGGACGACGAAGAGGTTATGAGCCAGAACAACAAACTGATTTGCTCTGCGAAAACGAATGCAAAGTTCAGTAAGTTACTCCTCTTACACGAGGGTAGCAGAAAACGCGTCTATGGATACTACACCTTTGAGCATAGCGAGGAAATCCACTGTGTCTCGTTTGGCTGTCTCCATGGGAAGGAGTATATTTACGTCAGCACCAGTTTGAACATCGGCGAGCGGGTCGAGACGCAGGGCAACATCTACGTATTCGATTTGAGCGGCGTGTTCGCGCGGGTGGGGGAGGATCCCATCAGGGGAGGAGAAGAGGAAGGACAAGAAGAAGCGAAAGAAGGAAAAGAAACAGAAAAGGAAGAAAAAGAAGCAACAGAAGCAGCGGCAGACGGAGAACACCGGGAAGAGGAAGAGAAAGACAAATCCTCCCCCAGCGGGAAGAGCAAAAAAGGGAAGCTCTCCCTTTACATGAAGAAGACGTATAACAGCCCCGTGACGCAGATCCACCCCCTCTACATACACAGCGAGGGGTTCCTGAATGGGCGCCTGGATACTGCCCTCCAAAGCATCATCCTCAGTCATGGCGGCGACATGAAACATTGTGGTAAGTACAGTGGGAGAAGCCAACACGGGGAACTACTCTCAGGAGAGGAGGAACTTTCCTATTCGCCCAACGGGAACATCATCATGTCAAGGAGAGCGAAGCAGAAAAGTAGAAAGGTCGACCCAAACGTACACTGCAACATCCTTCATTGCATTAATTCGAAGATCTTTATTCACGAAGTGAATCAAAATGACTTCACCAAAGGTGCCTTCCTCGACAATAACTTCTTCATCACTGACATTAAGATAGTAAAGAATTTTTTCATCGTAGCAGATCTATACAGAGGCATATACATAAACATGTACAATTATGAGGAACAATACGATAGTCGAAGTATCATCCCGATAGCCAAACCGTTTTGTAGTTCCAATCTGAACATACTCTGTTGTCAGTACCTCGTTTTGGATAGCCTCCTGTGTATCCTTGCCATGGATGTCTTCAATAACTTGCTCATTTTCTCATTCCGGAGCCATCAGTCTGTCGATACCTTGTACCTTTTTAGCATCTTCAACTTCAGTAGAAGGATCCTTAAATATGTGAATGCTGTGCATCCAGATCGGCGATCAAACTCAGCCTTGTCCATTTCGAACGATGGGTCTCTTCATTTGTTTCACCCGCTTAGGAGTAACTCCTTTGTTTTCTTCAGAGAGACTTATAACATCGTTAGGATGTCTCTCTTTCCCCACTTGGCCCTCAATGCGCATGCAGATTTGATCCCAGATGTGTTTACCCAATCGGCCAGACTGAACCTCCACATGAAGAGAGACTCCTTCTCCATCAAGAATGTCCTCTTTGACGACATGCTACGGTGAGAGGGCGGGAGAAGCACACTCCGGCGAGACCAGCGAAGTGTTCGACTGCGTTATTCGCGGCGACTGAGCTGCTCAAACGGGGGCACAGTTACCGGTTTGGCCTGCCACAATGCGCCGTCACGATTTCACACATACATACAGACAGACCTCTATACACACACATCTCTTCCAACACATGTCTCTTCCCCCCTCCAGGCAACTCCCCTTCTACTCCGCCCAAGTCCTTCATGAGTTATTCCTCAAAAGGACCAGCCTTCTGGAGCACATAACGATGGTAATGCCAACTGCACGGGTGACTGCTCCGAATAGCGGAGGAGGGGCGATCGAGGCGGCCGCGGCAATAAGACGTCTATTCCCCCTGCTGCACTCGCCGCATCTCCATCCCATGCCCCTTTTCCCACCTCTCAGGGGGAACTCCTAATCGAGTTGAACTCCTTGAACGAACGGTAATCCTCCCCTGCGCACAGTGCCCCGAAAAGGAGCAGAGGAGAAGCTTCCCATGTGGGAGCCCCAACAGCAGGCGCGCCGTAGCACGGAGACCATTTGAAGATAATTCGTAGGCCATTCGCAGGCAATTCGCCGACCATTTGGGCGGTTGTCCTTTCCCCCGCACGACATGTAACAGTTGTCCTTTTTTTTTTTTTTTTAAACGATAACTCCTGACGATAACTGGCAAACTTGCGCAGCACGCATTGGTCCCCTGTGACTAATCATCCCCCGTTTGACCGCTTAAAAAATTTGCAAAAATGAGGAGGCCTAAGAAGAGCGAAATGTTACTTTGGTTGAATGTGTTGTGAATGGTCAGTTGGGAAACCTCCTCGGTGAAGGTAGGCGACACGCAAAACATGTTCCTATCTACGTGTGGACTCCTCCCTCCAAAATGTTCTTCCAGCAGGAATAGGAAGCATGAAAAAAAAAAAAAAAAAAAAAAAAAAAAAAAAGGGGCACTGCAGCGATGCTCTGCAGGAGGATATGCAAATGGATTGTCAGCAGCACCCCTTCACAATTCGTACATCTTAACTAACATATGAAAAGAAGAAGAAAAAAAAAAAATAAAATAAAAAATAAAACATGTTTCGGTTGGAAGAGGAGAAACGTCACACACATACACAAAAGGGACTTCTTCTCAGGTGTCCTTCACCTTACGCGCAGACGCACGTGGGTAAAGGTAATCCCCCCACACAGACACATGCGCTTACACATCCGCTCACACATACATCCTCCCACGCATCTTTCCTTCTAATACTTCTTCGCCATGCGGGCACAGGTCTCCAAAGATATTTTTATCATATTTTCCAATCTCTCCGGAACGAGGTTGTTGTCGAAGTCACCTTCATCCCACTTCAATGGGCACCCATCGACGATGAAAATGCCACCTGTTTTTACCTTTCGTAGAGTACCCATCACCATCAACGTCGCTACTTCCATCTCGACGACAGCGACATTCGCCTTTGAGTAATCCTCCAGCCTCGTCGGGATGATGTTGTGTGGGTAGTACATATCGGATGATAAACTAATTCCAGTGAAAACGGGCACTTTTAACTCTTGTGCAACTTTGTTTAATGTGTCGTAAACCTCGAAATCGCCGACAGCTGGGAAGTCTGAATAAATCATAAGGTGAGACACTCGGTCTTCCCTTACTGCTGCATTACATATACAGATGTCTCCTCTCTTGATTTCATTTGGTTGGAGGGATCCACAAGAGCCAGCACGAATGATTACCTTGGCTCCGTTATTCATCAACTCTTCAAAGCAGATTGCACATCCTGCTGATCCCACTCCGTGGCTCACACAAAGGAACTTCTGCCCTTTGTAGGTGCATTCAACACTCTTGTATTCTCTATTATATGCCAAATCGACGTACGAGTCACATAACATCTTCACCTTATCCACTCGACCTGGGTCCCCTACGACCAGCACCACTGGGGTGGTTTGTGCTTTGGTGAGCTTGATGTGCCTCTGCATCTCGTCTGCCATTGTTTGAGGGGGGGTCGGGCAGGAGAAGAGGAAAAAAAAGCAAGAAAAAAATAAACAATTCCTATTGCGCGGGGTGGCTATATGCGGCAAGGGGGGAAGGCTCCGTCGGGACGCAGCTGCGCGTGCAGCGATTCTCCTCAGCTAGTTTGTAAGTTATGCGGTGATGCCGCTTCGCAGGTTTGTAGATTCTCTTTTACGCTTATATGATGTTATTCCGGTGGGGCGCGTGCCAATTGGGAAAATGAAACTCAAACGACAAACGTGGAGAGAACTTCTCGATGAAGGGAGTTGTAAAAAAAAAAAAAAAAAATGTTTCAAGGGAAAAGAGGGTTGCAATAAAAAGTGCCTCAAAAAATATGCTTCACAAAATGCTTGGCAAAATGCTTAGCCAAAGTGTGCTCGAAAACCCCCCTCCCCCAATTGTGGTTCTTCCCATCAGGTGAAAACTTGTTCCACCTCACCAAAATTGCAAAATATCGTCCCCGACATCGGACTAGCGGCTGCTGCACTGGGGGAGTCGGTTGCCCAAGGGGGGCATACAAATAGAGCCTCCACGAGGCATGCGCAAAAGGAACACCCCCACACAGGTGACGCGCAAAGGAAGCTGAGCCAAGCTGCGGCCTCCCCATCCAGTAATATACCCACAGCGACGTCGTGCCAATCGAAACAGGAGTATTACAAGTTGAGTTTTCTTAAAAAAAAAAACACATGCAAAATGGGTATGCACAGATAAGTGTACCGCTTTCTCCCAAATGTTCAAAGTGGTTTAAAGCTGGTAAAAAAGGGGGGCATACATCTTGATGTGGGGTCCGTTCTCAGAAAAAAAAGGTATGCTGACCCCCCAGTGCACGGTGCTGACTAGTGGTACACGATGTCGCTATTCTTGGGTTCTACATGACACGCCATGTGCACAGAGGTGCATCCCTCCCCGATTAGGGAAGATGGCGCAATTAACCTTCTTGACCGAACTATGGATCCCCTCTCCCCCATGAAGGTACTTTTCACGTAGGCGTACGTATGGGGGCACACATAAATTTATATGCACTGTGCTCACGCCCCAGAATGGGTGCTTCGCCCTCCCCCCACCGCGTCACCACGGTCACCACGATCACCACCGCTACCACCATCACTTCTTCACAAGCATGTTGTCAGTTGCTATCAGCCCCAAGTGTGCCCTCAACTGCTGAACGCCGAAATTTTTCAGACTGGATACATTAAATAAGTAGCTGCTTATTCTCATGTCGTAGGTTTTCTCCTTGTGGGTGCGCTCGTTCAGCGATTTAACTTTCCTCTTGTAATCGTCAATCACGGAGAGGACTCTAAACATGAGCTTGTGCAGCTCGGGTGCCTGCGGAGTTGTAGAGTGGTATAAAGGGTCAAAGAACATTTGTGTAGGTAGGGATAGGAAAAAGTGTATTATACGAACGCATTGAGACCTCGCCGATGAGCCAAAGCGCTGAAAAGGTGAGATGCCACTCATGGAAATAAATACACTACTTCCTTCCCGTGTGGACATACCCGAAGCCTATCCACTTTCGTAACAACAATTTGAAAAGGCACCCCCTTGGTTATTAGCATGTCGAGTAAGACAAAATCGTGTGGAGTGAAAAACTCGGTACATTCTATCAAACACAGAGCGCGCTTCAAGTTGACCGCTCTGTTGAGATACTCCTCGATAAGGATGGACCAGTTATCACGCATGTCCTTAGCAACCTTGGCAAAGCCATAGCCAGGTAAGTCCACAATTGAGAGGTGATTTAGCAGGTTGAAAATAAACAAATGCCGGGTACGCCCCTGCGTGGTGAGAGGAGAAAAATAGGGGATTTTTGCACATGTAAAGAAAAAGAAAAAAAAGGCCGTGGAGTACTCCAACACGTTCATTACAAATGTTTAAGTCTACTTTGGAACAGCTGGGACGCATAGATGGAGAAGAGACTCCTCCTGGACAGGAACGATGCTTCTACACAGTTCAGCATCGACGAGTGGGCTTTGCGCATATGCCAGTAACGGGTGAATAAAATGTGCACCCTGACTTTTTTTTTCTTTTTTTTTTTTTTTTTTTTTTTTTTTTTCTTCTTTTTCATTTTTTTCCCTTTTTTTCCCTTCCTTTTAAACAAAAAAAAAAAAAAATTACTTTTCCGTAAAACT